CAGATTATGATATATAAAAAATCTCAAATTTGATAAAATTATCTCTAACCCCTATATTCTTAGCACAGAACCCATATGTAGATCCATAGAAATATTTTTAAAAACAAACACAGAATACGTATCATCACCGCAGAAAATCATCATTCATATTTTATATAACGGAAAGTATCTTTTTTGTTTTCATTACTCACTTTCTACAATAATTAATATTATTTCAATTGAATTACTTCCATAGTATAAAAATAACCCCATTTATAATAAATCTCAACCTTTGTAAAATAATCAACTAGGTAATGATTTCGAGCATGTTTCAACTGCAAAACAAGATATCGATCAACAATGAAGTTTAAAAACAACTTATTTTTTAATATCTTTTGAAGTACGCAACAATTACTTTGAATGCTTTTGTTTGTTTTTCTTTACCTAATCCCACCTCGCCTTCAACATCAAACCGATAAATCCCACCAATATCAGTACCAAAAGAAACTTTTACTAAACGATTAGGTAATTTTTCATTTTAAACATTATGATAGAAAAACAGATTTCGTAAAGGTTATAATGATAAAATGCTTCTTTAATCAACCAGTGAGAAATAATTGACTACCTGAACCAAAGGGATTTCAATGACAATAGTACTCCAAATATTCATAAATAATATTTTTACTGGAAATTCATCATGTCTTTGTAAAATTAACTTCTAATAATTCTTTGGTTCAAAAATTAAACATCTTATTACCGATCTTCCATTACAATAGACTGATCAATTAAAATATCTAACCTATTAATCAAAATATATTTCTTTCCTTCATGTTCGACAAATAAATTTATAAATTTTCCAGCCTTAGAATTTACTTGTGCACTTACTCTTGTATGATTAGCAACCATATCATCGGGAGAGAATTTAAATGTTGATTATATAATAGCTGAAATAAATCCGTTATACGTTCTTAAAGGGTTATCTCCATGAAGTGTATAATTTCTGGTTCAAATATATCATTAAAATTGATATATGTTATTCTTGTTATCAAGTCAATACATAATATAAATGTACTATATATTTTGGCACTATGAGTTGACCAACTGCACAGCACAAAATGAAGTAATCCCGAAGAAATTTATATTATTCAACTCTGGCGGTTATTGTTATAAATGATTCGATCGACAAAAAAATTTTTTTAAGCGTTACTCTGTTAAATCCCGTGATTCTATTTTTTTTAGAAATCCCTTCACGTGATATTGGATCTCCATATGATTGAAAAAAAAATCCTAAAAATAACCCGAATTTTTTTTAATATTGTGCTGTAAATTTTACTAATTGTCCGATCACTGTATCGCCCCCTAATTTTTCACCCGGTGACATATAATAGGGTGAAAAATAATTTTTATCTACTATTCCCAGTATAAATATGATAAAAAAGAAAACCGGCAGGGTGTGACACGGGTGACAATTTGTGCAAGTTGGTGGCTTTGTAATATAAGATTGTTCGGTGTTCATATTTCTGATTCAACTATTGGGGCTATTGGGCTATGGCTATGTCGAAGATCGATATAGATTCAATAGCATACAATTAATTAATATTATGTTTACTATAAATTTTGACATTTGTCAACGATGCATAAGTTCAAAAGCTAATTAAATAGGATATAGTTTTACAGCCAAACCTTTTTTTGGCAAAATCAATTTATGAAAGAAAAAAAAAAACCAGTAAATCCTTTTTTTAGAATTTGAAGATTCTGATAAAAATAGAAATTAAAGATTGGTAAAAAATTATTACGAAGAAAAAAAGGTATATAAACGCATAGATTTCACTTCAAGCTTCTTCACTTCTTTCAAAGAATAAAAAAAATAAGGACTTAAGAAAAAATCTCTTGAAAAAATAATTTCCTTTTAAAAATAATTTTTGCAAAACAATTAAAACCTTCTTTTTCTTTTAAAGAATTCAGTAAAAATGAAATTATCAGCCGTCATTTTCTTGATCGTTGCCCTTTTAGCTTCAATTGCATTCTCTGTTCCAACCGAATACAATAAGGATGATGACTTTATAACATATTGTAAAGACATCGAATTTAAAAAACCTGTCGATGGTATAATATATAAAATTAATAGCACTCAAGTTGCAGATTTTGTTCTCCCCGAAGAATGTATAAAACGATTCGGTAAGGTTAATGTTTTTTAAAAATAATAAAATAAAATAAAATAAAATTCATTTAATAATTCGTTTCTTTTTTTTTTTACTGAAAAAAATTCTTAAAATCAATATAGGTTATCAAATGAGGACCACTGTCGAAATTTTCAGTGTAGCCGGCAACAAAGTTGTAGATACTATTGTTGAATTTGAAGATGTAAAATTTTGCTTTTGTTTTGTTATTTTGTTAAATCTTTCTTTTTTTTTAATTAATAATTTCTTAATTTTTTTAGATCTATAATCGTCCTGCCGTCTTTCTTTACTTGATCGATAAAGTGTGGGCCAATGATGGTGCTACTTATTTCCTTATAGCCACTCTTTTTAATAAAGATTATAAAGTCCAAGGTCAATCCGGAAAATTCACCACCGTAGATGACAAGGAACAAACATATAATTATTAAGTTGATTAATTAGTTCGTATCCGTTTAATAATGATATTAAATAGTTTACATGGATAATTTTTTTTTATTTTCTTATTTTGTCTTTTCATATTAAATATAATGAATGTACTATAATTAAAATTATTTTAAATTCTATAATCGAGCATGTTATTTACAAATGACTGAATTCATGACTGAATCAAATTTTGATAACATCACACAATAAAATTTAGTTATGACGAAATTCTCTACAAAATTAATAATAAAACTATTTATGGGAATTCGGATCAAGTATTTGTTACGGTTGGTACCATTGCATGCTAAAAAAAAAAAAATATTTCTTTCTAAGAAATAAGAAATAAATCAAAACAACTGATTGCTTTCAAAAAAAATATCAATTATCGAATTATCGTGATCAGTGCAAATTTTTTTTCATCGTTATCAAACAAATACGTATTAAAAATATTACTAAATTTTAAAGATTAACAAATTTATCAGTGTTATTAAATGGTATTAAATGGGAAAACATAAAAAACACGGTACACGGTACTATAGAAATTTTCTCTTCAAAATTTATAGATTTAATGAATAGTAAAATAAACAATATCGACGAAAAAAATAAATCCTATAACAACAAACCATATAAAGAAAATGTTATTACCAAAGAATCTTGAAGAAGGAAGAATAGTATGATTAATCTAGTCTAATTTATCAGAATTAATATCATTTCCACTAACATTTTGAGATGATACTATCTGATCATCATCTTGAGACATAGTAAACTGCGAAGTATTAACTAAACTTGTATTAGAATTATTACCACCCATACAATTATCAACAAAATTATATCGAGATTTTTTATGTCTTTTACTAAGGTATGGCATTTTTCTTTTAACCCTTGCTACTAACCCATTA